CTACCAGTTAGAGAAAGACATATGAACATGGATATTATGGTATAACACCACTAGGTGGCAGTAGTGGTCTATCCTGATCTATAGCGAGAACTAGTATTCATGCAATATCACAGAAATTAAAGTAAAAGAAAAAATAAAATAGCGCACAATTGATATATATGGTATCAGTGCATTTTATGGTACTATTGGGGGGATTATTAAAGTGCAAAGATTCATTTTTGAATGGAGTCCCTCATTTCATGATTAAATATCAAGGTTGTGCTATAGTGTAACTGGATAATCCTTACCACGAAAATGGGTAGAAAGGACGGGCTGTGGTAGCATACATGTCCACCCACAATGCATCATGCTAAATAGCTCCACTGAATATCCAAATAAATTCTTCAAATTTCATGCTGCAGAAACCTCGTGATTTTCATTGGTGGTTGGTTATGTGCTGTGGAGTCGGTTCTGATTCATACTGACCCTGCACAGGGTTTCCGAGGCTGTAAATCTTTACGGGAGCAGAAAGCCGCATCTTTCTCCCATGGAACAAACAACTGGTAGTTTCCAACTGCTGACCTGCGCTTCGCAGCCCTATTTGTACAAATAAATTCTTCAAATTTCATGCTGCAGGAATCTCATGATTTTCATTATGATATATAAATATTGTGTTGGTAAGTGTTGTTCAGTAGGTTCCAACCCATAGCGACATTGTATGGAGTTTCCAAGGAGCAGGGGGTGAGTTTGAACCACCAACCTTGTGGTTCAAACCAACTTTGCAGTTGAGCACATCAGCCCACAGCGCCACACCAGGATTCCAAATATACCATTGGCAGTTATTAAATGTTATTGACATGCCTCGTACTTCAGCAGTAGTGTTGGAAACAGGGCTGAGCACTGAAATTCAATTTTCCTGTGTCTCCATCAAAACTGGTGTGGTGCTATAGGATACAGGTCAGAGGTTCAAACTCACCAGTCACTCTTTGGAATCCCTATACAGATTTGCTATGAGTCAGGACCAGCTTGATGGCACTTAACAGCAACAACAACCATCAAACCGGGGTTCCTGGGTGGTGCAAATGGCTAATTTCAACAGCTGACTAGACGTTTGAATTCACCTAGAGGTGCTTTGGAAGAAAAGCCTAGCAAATTTGCTTCTTCAAAAATCAGTCATTGAAAACCCCAAGGAGCATAGTGGTTTCCTGACACATGTAACAACTGGGTTTTACTTTCATACCACATCAGACCCCTTGATGATATGATCTTGTTAATTTCACATTAAGACCATGTTTGCAATACAATGATTGCTCATTAATGACAAATAGTTTTATTTCTTTCTAAATGAGACACATGTAGAAATATGATTATTTTGGCATACCTGTTTCACCTGTCAACCTGTCTTCAGCATCATGTCTGTCTGCACACAGGATGAGACATTCTCATGTGCTCTTCTCCTGTTTTCTCTGGCCTCTTTATTTGCAGGAAAGCCCTTAACTCTTAACTGCAAAGCACGATTTGGCTTTGAAAAGGACTTTAACCCTATAGTGAAATGGTACATCGAAGATGCTGAGCAGAAATGGTAAGTCCCCATCACCAGAGGGGAAATGGTAAGAAGAAAATGTTTTTGGCAACTTACATGAAACGTTTTCACCTTTAGAAACCATACAATATTTTCACAGAGGCAGACAAGCACACTGGGTTAATGGTGTCGTAGGCCTTGAGAACCAACCAATGGTGAAAATAAAAGGGCAGACATACAAAGTGCATGTTCATTGAAAACTGAGGTAAAATTCAGCTTCTGCTTGAGGCTGTAGAATGAACTATTTAAGCGACACTGCAGCTCAACTTGAAGCAATGATTTGCTGTGGTTGCCTTAAATGCAAGCAACAAGAATGCAGACAAATGTCTTACTGTTTTAACAAATGTTATCAGAAGGAACAAGTCCTTGGAGAACAGCATCATATTTGGTAAAGTGGAGGGATGGCAACAAAGAGGAAGACCCTTAATGAGATGGATTAACACAGTGGCAAGAGAAATAGACTCAAGTGTAACAACAGTTGTGAGGATCATGCAGGGTTGGACAGTGTTTTGTTCTGTTGTGCATAACGTAGCTATGAGTCGGAATGGACTTGCTGGTACCTAACAATAACATCCCTGGTGTGCAGGAAGCAGTCAAGGAATGAAAGCTGGTACTGTAGACCCGCCAATGTATCTCGAACAACACAGCCTAAAACACCATCTATATAAACAGATTCTTTAACTTGCAGACTGATTATAGTCGGTAAGTTCAGAGAATCCACGTTGTGGATAAATTAAGAGACTTACAACTTGTTGAAGGGAGCAGAACAACACTGGAATCAGGCAGCCTCCTCTCATTTCTGTGATGTTCGATTACTGGCTCAGTTTCTGTGCTTCAGCGGTATTGTTCACTAATTTAGGATGATCACACTATTCCCAGGGTTCCTGTGAGGTGAGAAGAGAGGTGTGTAGAATACTGTCTGATAGGTACCTAAAATGTTGTCAGTAAAATTAGTTTTTAATATTATTTCTAAATTATTGTTCTCAAGAAGAATTTTTAGGGCAAAGAAAGTCAAATGATGCCCACATTTAAACCATGTTTTAGGATGAACACTTAGAATACCAAGTACATGTCCAGGCTTGGTAAGAAAGCTACAACTTAACATAGGCATGAGATGGAGCAAGGTTTTAGTCACACAGAGTAGACACAGCACTATCAGCTTCAACTGCAGGTGCCAGTCCCCATAGTTAGTGGGCTACTTCTCAGACCTAACGCAGGGCTGGTGGTCTGTACACTGTGCAGCCCCTACCCTCATGTTGTGGTTGATAGACCTAGTCCTTCACCACCAGGAGCAGATACAGAGATTGTGGGTCATGTAAAGTGCATGCTTCTTTCAGCAGTTTCAAGGAATGTCAATGTGTGCTCAGGGCAAGAGCTGTTACAGGATGTGTTCTGGGTCAAGATTCTGGAAAGGGAGTCAGCCAACACTCTCTTCCCATCCAAGGAGACAAGATGATACATATGGTCATAAGCACAAGGTTCATTGTGGGTCACAGGCCGTATTTATTCCGCCTCCTTCTATGGGTATTATTCTTTTGTTATTGTTGGTAAGTGCTGTCGAGTCGGTTCCGACTCATAGCAAACCAGTATAGGGTTTCTGAGGAGCAACTGGTGAGTTTGAACCACAAGGTTGGTGGTTCAAACTGACCTTGCAGTCCTACAGCACTATGCCAGGAGTTCTGCATTATTTTTAGCAGGTTCAATAATTTAATAAAGAATTATGCAATAATTTAATAAAGAATGAATCTTCTCTCTAACCATCTTAAATTCCGGTATCTCTTTATATTATTTGATCTTACAAGTTTCTGATATCCAAATAGTTGGCCACTTACATGAGTGCCAAATATGTTAAATAAGTGTTCATTTATGTTATTGAATGTGTGTGACTTTTTTTTTTTTTTATTCCTTAGCAATCTATCCCAAGTAAAGGATGAAGTCATTCAATGTGTTCTGTCTTTGAAAGAAGTTACTCAGAATGATCTTCACAAGAACTTCACTTGCTTTGCCCAGAACTCAAAGGGAAATGATACCTTGTCCATCCAGCTAAAAGAAAAGAAAGGAGGTAGGCAAGAAAGTTGACCCAGAAAGCATACAATTGCTTTTATTGAAAGGAGAGGACATTTTCTAAAGCATATAATAAATAGTATATGATGATGATGGTGGCAATTAACATTTACTGGTTGCCAGATATTTTTCTAAGCACTTTGCTTGTAGTAACGTATTTAATCCTTTCCTATCTCTATTTTATAGGTATGAAAACTGGGGCAAAGAGATATTAACAGCTTGAACAAAACCACATAGTTAGTAAATTGCATCTCAGTAATGTATAGCTGATCCTCATAAGCACCATACTGTGTATGTTAGGAAGCCATTCATTCTAAAAACACCTATGGTATGTCCCATGTGGGTGGCACCACACTAGAACCTGGCTGCCTTTTCTGTTTTCCTTCCCTGCCTCTGAATCCTAGAATATGACGGTCAAAAAATGGAAGACTGGAGAAAAGAAACAGCAGTCTTACTCAGTGTTCAAAGTGATATATGTAATCTTTGAAAGCTAGAGTGGAAACTCTAATCAAACTTTTTCTTTTCCATGGAAGAGATAGCTTTTAAACTTCTTTAAGTAGGTACACAGAGATGAAGTTCATTCACATCATTCATCTGGTTGCCCTTAAATAGAGGTGTGTGGAGTCCTGGCGTAGCTCTGTAGGATAAGCACTGGTCTGCTAACCACAGAGTTGGTGGTTCAGGCCCACTAGTCACTCGTTAGAAATCCTATACTTGGTTGCTATGAGTAAGAACGTATTTGACATCACTTAACAACAACTTAACAATAAAATTGTGTAGAAGGTCCTGTGTTAGGCATTGTGGAAGATATGAAGGTAAGCTAGGTATGACTATTAAGACTCTATTTAGTTGTTGTTGTTAGGTGTGAATCAGTTCTGACTTGTAGTGACCCTGTGTACAATAAAACAAAACACTGCCGATCCCCTACCATCCTCACAACGTTCCAAATACTTGAATGTACTGTTGCAGTCACTGTGCTAATAATCCGTTTTATTGAGGATCTTGCTCTTTTTGGCTGACCCTCTACTCTACTAAAGGAGTTCTAGTAGTGTAGTGGTTACCAGTTGGGCTGCTCACCTCAAAGTCAGCAGTTTGAAACTACCAGCTGTTCCATGGGAGAAAGATGAGACTTTCTGCTCTCATAAAGATTTATAGCCTCGGAAGCCCTGTTCAGGGTCTCTATTAGTCAGAATCGACTCTAGGGCACACTGCCACCACCATGCTACTAAGCATGATGCTCTTCTCCAGGAATCAGGTCCACCTGATAACATGTCAAAGTTTTCTCAAGTTGAGAAAAAGTCTCAACCTGCCTTGATTTTAAGGACCATTCCAATTGTACCTCTTCTAAGATAGATTTGTGTTCGGCAGTCTACAAATCATTAAATATTCTTTGCCAACATCATAATTCAAATGCATCAATTCTTCTCTGGTCTTCCTTACTCACTGTCCAGCTTTCATATGCATATGAGGTGATTGAAAGTATCAGGGCTTGGGACAAGCACACCTTAGCTTTCAAAGTGACCTCTTTGCTCTTCAACATTTTAAAGAGGTCTTTTGTAGCAGATTTTCCTGTTTAATTTCTTAACTGATGTTTCCACAAGCATTTGGTGTTGAATTCAAAGTACAAAGAAATCCTTGAAAACTTCAATCTTTTCTATTTATCATGCTGTTGTTTCTTGGTCTACTTGTGAAGATTTTTGTTTTCTATACATTGAATTCTAATCCATACTGAAAAGCTGTATTCTTTGATCATCATCAGCAAGTGCTTCAAGTCCTCTTTACTTTCAATAAGCAAGGTAGTGTCTTCCACATATCACTGGCTGTTAATAAGCCTTCCTCTAATCTTGATGTATGGTCAACTTCCTGTAGTCCAGTTTCTCAGATTATTTGCTCTGAATATAGATTGAATGTATATAATGAAAGGATACAACCCTGATACATACCTTTCTTTTTTTTAAAACACAATTATCCTTTTGCCCTGTTCAAACAACTGCTTCTTGGTCTAAGTATAGGTTTTACATGAGTACAGTTTAGGGTTCTGGAAATCCCCTTCTTCACAATGTTATCCATAGTACGTTATGATACACATAGTCCAATGCCCTAAATAGTCAATAAAACACAAGTAAAAAACGTTCTGCTTTCAGCCAAGGTCCATTTGACATCAGCAATGATGTTCCTTGATCCATGCCCACTTCTGAATCTGGTTTGAACTTCTGGTAGCTTTCTGTCAATATACTGGTGCAACCATTTTTAAGCTATCTTTAGCAAGATTTTTACCTGGGTGTGACATGTTCAATAAAGATATTGTTCAACAATGCCTGCATTCTGGTAGTTTGACTTTCTTTGGAATGGGCACAAATACATTTTGGACAGTTGGCCAGGTAGCTGTCTCTCAAATTTCTTAGCCTAGATGAGTTAGAACAACTGCATTGATTTATTGAAACATTTCAATTGGTATTCCTCCAATTCCTGGAGACCTCTTTTTTTTTTTCCAGTGCCTTTGGTGCTTTAACATTTCCAATCAATACCATCAGTGATTGATCACATGTTACTTCCTGAAATGGTTGAACATCAAGTGTTCTTTTTGGTACAGTGATTCTATGTATTCCTTGTGTCTTCTTTTGATATTTTCTGTTATCATTCAACATTTTGCCCCATAGAGCCCTCCAGTATTTCAATTTGAGGGGTGAATTGTTTTCAGTTTGTTTAGCTTGAGAAATGTTTAGTGTGTTCTTTCCATTTGATTTTCTAACTTCACGTCTTTTCACATTTCATTATAATACTTTACTTTGTTTTCTTGAGTTGCCCTTTGAAATTTTCTGTTCAGTTCTTTTACTTCATTTTCTTAGTTGTTTAAGCAGATTTCAGAGTCTCTTCTGACATTCAGTTTGGTCTTTTCTTTCTCATTCTGTCTCTTCAGTGACTTTGCACTTTCTTCATGTATAATATTCTCAGTGTTATCCCACAATTCCTCTCTCTGGTCTTCTTCTGTCATTAATGTTCAATGTGGTAAACATATTCTTGAAAGGGTCTCTAAATTTAGGTAGGGTATACTCAAGGTTATATTTTGGCTCTAGTGAACTTATTTTTGTTTTCTTTAGCTTGAACTTGAACTTGTATGTTAGCAACTGATGGTTTGTTTCATGGTTAGCCACTGGCCTTGTTCTGCCTGATTATATTGAGTTTCTCTATTATCTTTTTCCACAAAGGTAGTTGATTTGATTCCTGTGTATTCCATCTGGTGAAGTCCGTGTGTATTGTCATCATTTATGTTGTTGAATAAAGGTATTTGCAATAAATAAGTCATTGGTCTTGTTAAATTTTATCATGTGATCTCTAGGGTAATTTCTATTAGCAAGGACATATTTTCAAACTACCCATCCTCCCTCATTGCTTCCACCTTTCACATTCCAGTAACCAACAGTTATCAATGCATCTTGAGTGCAGCCTCAAGAAGTTGTTGTTATTGTTGTTGTTGTTGTTGTTGTTAAGTGCCATCAAGTCAATTTGGATTCATAGTGACCATAGATAGGGTTTCTTAGGAGACTTGTGGTCCAAACTGACCTTGTAGTCCAATGCATTATCCCACAACACCACAACAGCATTCTTCAGTTTCATCATCACTGGCCTTAGTGATTGGTACACAGCTTTGAACAACAGTTGTATTCACTGATCCTCCTTGTGGAATGTGCATACTACCCTAGCACTGAGAACATTGCACCACAGGATAGATCTTGCAACGTTCTTTTTGATGATCAATGTGACACCATTCCTCTTAAAATTGTTTCCAGCATAACAGATTATATGATTGCATTCAAAATGGCTATTTCAGCTTACTAATGCCTAGGACATCATGCTTTATGTGTTTCATTTCATTTTAGATGACTTCCAATTTTCCTAGATTCATACTTTATATATTCTATATACTCATAATTAATTGATGTTTACATCTGTTCTCATCTTGAATTATGACACATCAGCAATTGAAGATCTTGAAAGTTTTGCTCCATTCACGTCATTAAGTTCACTGTATTTTGAGAAGGCAGCTTGTCCCCAGTGGAATTTTGAGTGCCTTCTAACCTGAGACACACATCTTCTGGCAACGCATCAGATAATGTTCCATTGCTATTCAGAAGATTTTCAATGTGGTGCTGTGGGTTAATGCACTGGACTGCAAAGTCGGTTTGAACCTCAAAGTCAGTGGTTCAAATTTACCAGGTGCTCCTCGGAAACCCTATACAGGGTCACTACGCGTCAGAACTGACTTAAAGGCACTCAACAACAATAACAACAATTCTCAGAAGTGGACCTCCTCTTCCTTCTTCCCAATGTTTCTTAGCTTGGTTGTTGTCATTGCTAAATGCCATAAAGTTCGTTCTGATTCATAGAAACCCTGTATGAGGTTTTCAAGGAGTGGCTGGTGGGTTTGAACCAACAACTTTGCAGTTAGCTGTCCAGTGCTGATCCCACAGTGCCATATCAGGACTCATTCTAGCCCAGTAACTTCTCTGAAACGTGTTTACATGGGTGATCCTGCTGGTATTTGAAATACCAGGGGCATAGCTTCCAGCATCACAGCAACACACCACAACACATGACAAACTGACAGGTGGTGGTAGACTTTAGTTGTTGTTGTTAAGTGTCGTCAAGTTGATTCCGACCCATAGCGACCCCGTATAGGGTTTCCAAGGAGCAGCTGGTGAGCTTCAACCACAGACCTTACAGTTCAAACGGTTTTGCAGTCTGACGCGTTACACCACAGCTCCACACTACCTTTAGTAGGAGTGGGTAAATGAAATAAAATTTGCTATGTATAATGATAGGGATACAAATGAATCGTGTAAAAGTTGATGGGGGGAAAAATAAAAACAGCTCAATTTGGATCACCAGCCTACCCACAACTAGTAGATGCCATCTCTGCAGTATATTGTAAGATAATTTCCTCAAGACCTGATATGAAAATTCTCAGATTCAAAAGGAATGCTGGCAGCAGCAGACAATTTGACAAAATAAGGATGGAAACGGCTTTGGGTGGGCCCACTGTATTGGCCTGAAAGTGACCTTGTCTCTCTGTTTGCTCATCTCTCTCTCTCTCTACCACATCCCCTCCCCTCCCCCATCAGTGGTTTTCATATACATACTCCTTGGCATCATCATGACCCTGGTGGGCATGCTGACGGCAGGTGCTCTCCTCTACCTGCACTGGATTGAAATAGTGCTGCTGTACCGCACCTGCCAGAACAAGGATGAAACCCTCGGGGGTAAGTGAGGACAATACAACATGGGGTACGCTCAGAACCTCTGGCTTTTCTTCTCAGAACTGATTGGAACTGTGTATTAGTCAGGATGCTTCAGAGAAACAGAATCAATAGGACACACACACAGATTTTAAGGAACTAACTTACATGATTGTGGGTCTGGCAAGTCAAAAATCTACAGGTCAGGAGGCAGAGTGGAAACTCTCGCTGTCTCATGTACAAAATGTGTAGGTCAAGTGGCAAGCTAGAAACTCTAAGTCTAGCAGGATATCTGTGCTTTATTCTTGAGGCAGAAGTCCTTCTCCCTCAGAAACCTGATTTTGTTGTTAAGGCCTTCAACTGATTAGGTAAGTCCCATTCAAAAGGGTAATTTCCTTTTCTGAGAGTCAACCAATTTAAATGTCAATGACATCTACAAAGTGCAGTTGACCCTTGAGCACCATGGGTTTGAAGTGAGCAAGTGAATTTTCTCTTAAAACACCTGTGTTGATAACTTTCCGAATAGTTTGTCTCTCCAGTACAATGTGTATCACAGTGAAGAGGGCTAGAAGTTTCTGTGTATTTTTCACTGTGTTTAGTGTAATACCATAAACCATGAACAACTCCAAGGGTCCCATAATGGCATGCCATTAGTGATGCTGGAAGTGCTTTCAAGAAGCAAAGAAACAGCTGAATTGCTTGTTATGTACAGATTGAGGTCTGCGGCTATGGCTGCTGCCCTTGCAAGATCAATGAATCCAAAATAAAGGAAATTATTACATTGTTACATAAATGAAAAGGAAATTCATGAAGCCAGGCTGCAGATACAACAGCCATCTCAAAACTCTTGCACTGTTTGCAAAATATCTTTTTACCTCATATTGAAAATGCAACTTTTATGTGGATATATTTTATAATACATATCACAAACAAAAAATGTTTTAATTCATTGTTTATGTTATCAGTTAGGGTTCATGTAATCAATCAATTGTTAAGTTTTGGGTAAGTCAGAAGTTAGACACAGATTTTCAACTGCATGGGGGTTGACATCTGTAACTTCTGTGTTGTTCAAGGGTCAAGGATCCAGGGTCTGTGTTGTTCAAGGGTTTAGAGGTTGACTAAACATCTGGGTACCATAGCTTAACCAAGTTGACACATAAAGTTAACCATCACAGAGGAGAATAAAAGATCTGGACCACAGAAAATGCCACCACTCATAGACTCTGTTTCCTCAGAGGTTTCTTAAGGAAAGCATTTCAGAGGCCTCTGTCTCCTGGGCACTTGCAAACATGGCGGACCCACACACTAGCGCTCACTTGGCTGTGCTTCCATCGTAGGACCTAGAGCAACTGTGTGCAGAGAATTTGCTTAGCTCAGTCAAACTCAACAGAGATGAGGAAAGAGCTCAAGACATAGTTATCCCCAATGCTAAAGCTTTGGGTCCCTCCTCATACCTGGGAGAACTAGGAGCAGGCGGAAAAGCATTTTTTTTTCATTCTAGAAACCAAGAATCTGGCAGGTAATTCTACCTAAAAATAATATTTCAGCAAACATAAAGCCATATGAGAACAGATGTAACCTTTCTATGCCTTCATTTTCTTATCAGTAGATTAAGATGAGAATAGCAGTAACTGCACCATCAGTGGTGTGAGCTCATTGAATCCAAACTATTTAGAACAGTGCCCAGCACACTGTGAACACTCAGTATACCGCAGTTGTGGATAGCGCTTGTGTACTTAGTGTATTAGTACTAACATTCCCACAGCAATTCTGTGAGCGAGGCAGTAAGAGTTGCATCATTTGCTAGACAATGTTACAGCTGAGAGTTGGACCCACACAGTCTGGTTTAAGAGACACCATTAGCTTTTTTGGAGTCCTGAAGGTTGGTGTTTCAAACCCAGAAGCCACTCCTCAGAAAGCCTATACAGGAACATAGCAACAACAGCATTAGCTATTTATATCAGTTAGTTTCACATGTAAAACAAGTGGCTTCAGTGTGGTGAAAATGAACTGAAAAGTGTGAAGTTTTATAAAATAAAGTCCTGATATTATTAAGGAAAGGAGCTCTGGTAGCGTAGTGGTTACGAATTGGGCTGCGAACCTCAAGGTCAGCAGTTAGAAATTACCAGCTGCTCTGTGGGAGAAAGATGAGGCTTTCTGTTCCCATAAAGATTTATCGCCTCGGAAGCCCTGTTCAGGGTTGCTATGCATAGGAACCGACTCCACTTAACAACAACAAGTATTAAGGAAGTATCTGTTAATTTTTCCATGAGACTGAAAAATAGTGTTTAGTAACGTTTTGTTTCTTCAGCATAAAATAACCATGTCTTTTTTTCTAGGCTAGAAAATATTCTCTGAGGTTAGAATAAGAACCTTGGTGGTACAATGGTTAAATGCTCAATTGCTAAGTCAGAGGTTTGCAGTTTGAACTCACCAGCCTCTCTGTGGGAGGAAGATGTGGTGGTTTTCTTACATTAAGATTGTTGTTAAGATCACCCGAGTTGGTTCCTGTATAGGGTTTCTGAGGAGGGGCTGGTAGGTTTGAACTGCCGACCTTGTAGTTCAAACCAAGCTTGCAGTCCAGTGCTTATCCTATAGTGCCACACCAGAACTCCATAAAGGTTATGTAAAGACTGTTATTAAAGTGCAATCAAGTCAGTTCCGAGTCATAGTGACCCTTGGAAATGCTATGAGGCAGTTCTGCTCTGTCCCTATAAGGTTTCTATGAGACAGAATCTAATCCATTGGGTTTGGGTTTGGTTCTGGAAGGTTAGAATGTTACCAGTTGTAGTGGTTCTGCTTCTTTGGACAGGACAGAATCACTGTGCAGGATTTCTGTTGGACGCTGAGGGTAATTATTTACTTTATTGTCATAGTGCTAATTATTATTAAGAATACTTATGTATTAGAAATCCTAAAGCCAACTGTTTTTCAAAATTTGTTTATTTAAAACTATTTTTAATGGTTTTGAATTATTCAGATTTATTTTACTAGGATATTATTTAGTTTAAGATTCTAGAGTTTTCATGAGAGTCTAAGGACACATTTAAATGTATGCTAGCTTACTTTGCCAAAACATAATTTAGTAGCCCAATCAGGGAAGCAGGCGTTTCCAGTAATGATGTGGTGCCCTCTTCTGGACAAACTAAAAATTTAAAACACAGCAAAGGTTCCCTTTCACACTGACGCTCGCTTGTTATTCAAAAATGTAGAAACATAAAATGTCAGAATTTGGATGTGCCTCAGTCCTGATGTGGCACTGCAGAATAATGCAGTGGACCTCAAGGTCAGTTTGACGCAAGGTTAAACTGTCAAGTTAAACCCACCAGCTGCTCCTTGGAAACCCGATTTCAGATTGCTATGGCTTGGAACCATCTCCACAGCACTTAACAACAACAGCAAGAAGTCATCTACTATTCCCACTCCTCTCCAGTTTGTTAAGTGACAAAATTTAGTGTTTCTAGGTTATAGAAACATCTTCATTTGCTGGTGTATCACATGGATATGTGAAGAGTTGAGGCAACCATGGAGTGATACACACTTAATCTGTACAACACTTAGTTGCCCACCATTCTCTGTGTATTTCTTCCTCCCTACCAGGGCAGTGAGATGCTGCATAGATTTTCCACCCCTTCCTTGGCTCATCGGCCACCTCCTCTTTAGACTTTCTCTTCTTTTTCTGTTTCTGACACTTCAATTCACCAAGGCCTCCTGTTAGATCCACACTTAGCAAGTGTGAAACCAACAGTACAACAGCCAGGACTATCATTTACCAGTTTGTTACTTAGTACTTGACAGGTGTTGTGTGGGGTGTTAAAATATAAACCAAGTGTGTCTAATTCCAAGAAATGTGAGTTAACTTTTGTGTAGTGGTTACAAGTCTGGCTGTCAACCTCAAGGCTAGCAGTTCAAAACTACCAGTGGCTCCATGGGAGAAAAATGAGGCTTTCTGCTCCTGTAAAGATTTACAGCCTTGGAAACCCTGGGCAGGGTCACTATGAGTCAGAACCAACTCCATGGTACTTCACAACAACAACAACTTGGCAGGCGTTGTGTGCAGTGTTAAAATATAAATCAAGTGTGTTTAAGTCCAAAAAATGTGAGTTAACTTTTGGGGATTTTCTACTTTACCCAGTTAACTATGAGTTAATTCTTTAGCATGTCCCCATATCTATGCATATGTGTAATAACTTAACCAACAAAGGTATACAAGATCTCTAAAATATCCTAAAACAAGTTCCATAAATACACTTCCACATATAGAAGGGAGGAGAATCAATATTTCTCTAGTGCTTTTTATAGGCATTCCATATACATAATGTATAATTCCATAAACATATACATAACAATTGGATCCTGGTATGGCACTGTATGATAAGCACTGGACTGCTAACCATCAGGTCAATGGTTCAAAACCCACCAGCCAGTCCTTCGAAATAATATACAGATCCACTATGACTCAAACTGGCTTGATTGCACTTAACAAAACAACATATAGCTTATTGTTGTTGTCAAGTGCCATGGAGAGTTAGACCATAGTGGCTCTGTATAGGGTTTCTAAGGAGCAACTGGTGGGTCTGATCATGCAGTTAACAGTCTAGTGCTTATTCTACAGTGCTACATCAAGATCATATCTCTCTCCCTCTCTATATATAT